GGGAGTTGGGTCGCGCGGAAGATGGCGCGGGGGGGAAGTCGGGTGTCGGGGGGAAAAGATCGAGAGTCGGGGAGGGGAGTTTGTGCGGGAGCGGGATCGGAGTCGCGAAGAAAAAGAAGAAGAAGATAAAAAAGAAAAAAAGAAGAAGAAGAGGAGGAAGAAGAAGAAGATGATGAAAAGAAGAAGACCAAGATGAAAAGGAGAAGAAGAAGAAGAAGAAAAAGAAGAAGAAAAATAAAAAAAGAATAGAAAAATAAAAAAAGAAAATTGTCGTCGATTGCTTATCTGCGCGGGGTAGCAACGACGATGACGAGGATGGCACGACGTGGCGACGAGGACGACGGGCACGGTGATGGTGATGTGGCACGACGACGACGATCGCGATGGTGACGATGATGATGTGGCACGACGACGACGATCGCGACGATGACGGTGATGATGTGGCACGACGGCGACGATCACGACGATGACGTGGCACTACGACGACGATGATGCTGATGATGGCCAGGTGATGGCGACGAAGCAGGGTGGGTCGGGCGGGTGGGTCGGGCGGGTTCGAACCGCTCTGATACCAGTGTGACGGGCGTGAGGCTGAGGGAGAGCCGTGGGAGAGGAGAGAGACGGAGAGAGTGAGGGCACACACACACTCACTCACTCGACACGACTGAGGGTCGGATGCAGACACAGTGCCAAGGCACAAAGTCGAAGTCATGGATTCCGAATGCCGAAACAGCAAGTCACACTGAGTACTAGTACAGCATCAGAAAACTGGTACGAGACTGGTCCCTGTACCGTACGGGGAGCCGGTATAAGTATCGGTGACACGTACGGTACCAGGGGCATTTCTGCAAAGGCCCCGAGGGCAGAACTGAAAAATGCGGTATTTGAAAGTGGCGCCCGAATTGCAGCATGGCACCAGTTGTCCAAAATCCTATGCAAAGGCCCCGAGGGCAGAACTGAAAAATGCGGTATTTGAAAGTGGCGCCCGAATTGCAGCATGGCACCAGTTGTCCAAAATCCTATGGTACCAAAGGAGGGGTTTGGAAAAAGGGTGCCAGGCCGAAAACGGGATGCAGCCGAAACAGCAAAAAGATATACCAGGGATCGAGCCCTGGCGGAGTCCGTAACAGGAAGGCTACAAGTCAGAGACGGAGCAAGAAGCAGAGCTGGAAGATTCCTCGGACGGTGAGGATGGGTGTGATTGGCTGGAAAAGGCGGTTAGTGGACTAGAGCAGTGAGGGAGCTGGAATTCAAACTGCAGATGGTACACTGCAGACATCAGAGGAACCTGATTCATCCAGAAGCAACACAAATCAGAAAAACACCGCTTGGTATGGGAAACAGATTTGTCATTCTGCAGAAAGGACAATTGATATCGAATTCTACGTGGAGCAGTATACCATGAAAACAAAGCGGAAAGGGATAAGCTAGAGGTAGATACTAGGGACTACGACAAACAAATCCTGTGGCCTGAGACTTATGAACATAGCGCAGAGATGAGAATGAACGCTAAAAAGGCTAGAAAATATCAAACAACGGAAGTGCAGGAAGTACAATCAGCAGATCCCACTGTGGCCAATAGCAACACAGCTACTACACTACGCAGGAAAAAGCAAGTGCTCGAAGCTCAAGTTGCAGTCTTGAAAGTGAAGAATGTGCAAGCAGAGGCAACCTGCCTGTCCATACAGAAGATTGCAAGCGGCAGTAGCAAGGATATCGAACCAGACGCTCGGCAGGCGGCCAGAAAAGAATCCGGAAAAAGAGTTATTATTCCATTCAGATGGAATGCCAAGTTTGATGACCGGAAAGTAGCAATCCACGTCTGGCACCTTGCTCACAACAACACGGGAGGACACGGTCAACGGCAAGCTGCGCAAGGTTTTTGGTTCGGCCATTATTGGACCGATGACTCAGGTGGGAGCACAAGAAAGGAACATGGAAGAATGGGAGGAGCGAGAAGCCCACATTCATCACGAAGATGTCACATTCATCATGAAGACCTTAGGCCCGTGATGATACCCCTTAAAGAGTACTGCAAACTGCAGCCAGGTCTTACTTGGCTGTCCTGGCAAGTCGTAGAAGCTACACCCTATGGTCTGATGGGACAGAGAGTCTCGGCAGAACTGGCACAGTTGGCTCTTCTCACATCACACGGACTGATCCTGACAGATAGAGGTCTCCTAAAGAGGGTCAGGCAGGAGGCCTCAATCAGTCCAGCAAGACGACCCTCTTGCAGCCCCGTTTTTCATCTTTACAATGGAGGCTATTCCATCCTTGAGAAAGAACCCAGAATGGGGGTGGGATCAAATTTCAGGAAATGGTGAGAGTGCTTTACAATGATGCACGTGGACAAGTTCAAGTGAGGCTATTGCATCCTTCTTGAGCAAGGACCCACCCATACAAAGACTGGTGGCCAGGTCCGACCCACCTTGGATCAGGTGTTACTACCGGTCATGCTTCTTTTTCCTAGCGACCTCACGGTCCTCATACGTGCATTCAACTCGTCCTTCCAAGCCCTAATAAGCAGGTCGTAGAAGGTACACCCTATGGTCTGATGGGACAGAGAGTCTTGGCAGAATTGGCACAGTGGGCTCTTTTCACATCACACGGACTGTTCCTGACAGATAGAGAAGGTCTCCTAAAGAGGGTACAGATGTTGACTGACAGGGAGGAGGCCTCAATCAGGCCGGCAAGACGACCCTCTTGCAGCCCCGTTTTTCATCGTTACAATGGAGCCTATTCCATCCTTGAGAAAGAACCCAGAATGGGGGTGGGACCAAATTTCAGGAAATGGGCGAGAGTGTTTCAAGCATCCCAAACCCAAAAGGTTCCCCACATAGGTTTTCCCAAAAATTTCCAGTAACTAGAGTGAAGAAGGTGAACAAAGCGCCTATTTTGGCACTAATCTTTGAAAATAAGTGAAAAATGGGATGTCTAGTAACAAGAAACAACACACTACTAATAGCCATTCCAATATAAA